TCTATTAGCTCAAAATTAGGGACGGTGATGTTCTAATATCCCTTGTGTAGTTTTGGATGAACTTTTGAGCCAAATGAACTTTCTGAGAAAAAGGTCAAAGGCCGTAATAAACGATGATTTTGTTTTCATTAGAGGTGCAACTTTATTTACAAGTTATCAAAATTACATATATATATACATATATGTAAAATAAGCATTAAAGAGATTTTGGTATAATTCCCATTGTCAGTCCTTATTTACTCTAGATATCGTTCATGTTTTAAATCGTTTTTTTTAATGTAATTCCTCAAATTATTGTTAGTCAGTCAACTCTTAATATAACACTTATTCTGTATAAACACTTTCAGGTTGTAGATCTATCATTTGTAACAATTAATATGTCAGTTTATCGATCATATATTAACATAATAGGGTTGATGTAAACAGCTTTATGTATGTGATGTTTTTTAACTCACAGACGGTAACAACAGCTACGATGTGAAGAACAATTAACTGTACTAACGTATCGTGACATAACGCAAAAATCGCTGAATTAATTTACTTAATCCATATTATCATAACTTAAGCATTTTAGCTTTTATTGGGCCATATTATTACATAAGATGTATATCGTGAGTTGAACTTTCACGAGAAATAATTACACAATTCTGGATACGAGAAACAACATCAGCTTATGATATTATAAGTGGGAGAAACTGTCAGGGTGTCCAAAGCACAAAAACCATTATTGTCACCAGCAAATGAGATCGGACTTCCCTTTTATGCTTTCCTTCTTTCATGCTTCATCATCTTTCCTACGACGATGCAACCTGGAAAATGACCAAAATGGGCACCAAAAACAAGATCTATATGCAATAGCCTGCGATTTTATCGTTTGGCGAGCCTAGTCCATAAACCCGGAAATCAGCTAGTTGGCTCGGAACAGGAACTGAATCTACTCACAATCCAAATGTACCAGCAGAGACTAATACCATCAACCGACAAACCGAATTCCACCTACTATATCATGAAAACCCCAGTCGTAATCTTTTTTTTTATTTTTGTAGATATTTAGTGATGAACTTCCAGATGACTTCACGAGTCGAATAAAACTTGTAAGTAAATAATTGAATATTTGAGATTTGCCTCTCATTTCCACTAATTCCATTTTCGTTCACAGTTTTAGATAATGTATATCTGATAATATTCCGTTATATATTGTATTTCTACTGAAAAGACTCAAACTTTTATTGTTGTTTTTTTTTTAAAGAAACGTTTACAATGTTTGGAACACGATATGGAGAGTGTTCTATTATCTATGTCTTATGTTCCATAATCGGAAATACTGTGTTATTATAAAAGCTGAACTTAATTTAACTGACACATAAGGTCAGTCGTACTACACCTTAGGAAAACAAAAAAAAAAAGTCTACCTTTTTTTGCCCCTATAATCAGGCTTCCTTAAAAAGAAACATAACATTCGGGACTAATTTCAGTTTTCAAGAGCTCCGAATAAAGCTTATGGAGGGATACAATATAACATTTTTGTACATCCTTTTTTTCCAGATATCATGTTAACATAAATAAACTTCTGTAAACAACATGGCTTATTGGACCTTGTATTTCATTCACCTATATCGTTAGAATAATTAATATGACTTCTGAGTTATTACACGTTAAAGTAAGCTGCAACAATACTGATTGAACAGCAACTTGAAACACTCATTGTTAACTCTAGAGTATAATCATAAGATTTAGTAAGCTGCAAGAATATTGATCGAACAGCAACTTGAAACAGTCATTGTTAACTCTAGAGTATAATCATAAGATTTAGTAAGCTGCAAGAATATTGATCGAACAGCAACTTGAAATAGTCATTGTTAACTCTAGAGTATAATCATAAGATTTAGTAAGCTGCAAGAATACTGATCGAACAGCAACTTGAAACAGTAATTGTTAACTCTAGAGTATAAACATAAGATTTAGTAAGCTGCAAGAATACTGATCGAACAGCAACTTGAAACAGTCATTGTTAACTTTAGAGTATAACATAAGATTTAGTAAGCTGCAAGAATACTGATCGAACAGCAACTTGAAACAGTCATTGTTAACTCTAGAGTATAACATAAGATTTAGTAAGCTGCAAGAATACTGATCGAACAGCAACTTGAAACAGTCATTGTTAACTCTAGAGTATAATCATAAGATTTAATTAGGTTGATAGTGTTGTACAATTAATGTGAGATAGTGAACTATACTTTTATTTTGATACGGTTTTGATTACCATTCATTTATGAGTTTTTCTATCGTTTAGTTAAACTATGAATTTTTAATTATATCTAAGCGCTAACTCACCTTCTAGATAGAACACGTTGATTTTTAGTATGCATGTATTATGAAACTGACACAGGTTCCCCCTAACGGTAATGTACAGATATTAATATTCTGAGAGCTTATGTAGATTTATGGTAATAACTAGTGACATGAGATGCAACCTCGTGTCCTAACCACTAAATGAAAAACTCTTTCTTGATCTTAAACGAGTTAGTTAAAAATAATTATTGTTATTCTCTGTGAATTAGATTTTTTTTATTCTGTTTTCTTTTCCTAATTCCTTTTATATCTATTGAAATTAATCGAATTGATATTTATGGTGTATTAGTTATTAATATTTGTACTTGGTTCTGGCTAAGTACGGGCTTACTAATTGTTGTTCTTTTTTGTAAGTGATTAAATCTGTCTCCTAGTTGTTTGAAAGTTTTATTTTGGATATCTGTTGTTATATTTTAATAAATTGTTTTCTTTTTTTACTCTAGCTGTAGCTGCGTTCTGGTTAGTCTGTTTTATTACATTTTGAATCGATTCACTAATTAAACTACTACGAAGAAGATGATATTCTCCAGAAATGGTAAATCATGAAACCCACTTACAAACCCAATGAATATATAGGAACTGGAGCACGTGACCGAGTCTACCAATGAGAGACTGGAATTACACAACAAAATGAAAGTGCTTAAAGCTAGCTCTCTGCTATCACACCTGGACAACACAGACTTCACCTGGCGGATCGATGAATGAACCAACATTTACAAGAGTAGTCGATTTTCTAAAAACGTTCTACTGTTTTATCTCGTGCTGAAGCTGTTATTGTTATACGTAACTTGACGTCATTGATCCGTAAACTGCTCTACAACCTTCGACAGGGAGGAAACACACGGTGAAACTTTCACTTTCAAAATCTACTTATATCATACAGAGTCCGTGACTGGCTTTAACATCTTGTATGTATGACTGGATATTGTTATCCTTTTTGGCAGCCCTGCAGGTTCTACGTAAGTCAACTAACACTCTCTATATGAATTATTTAAATCTTATATAATATCACATGCTTATTAACCCATTAAGTAAAGTTTTTATTCGATACTTTCGGAATGTAATTTAAATAGCGACAGTTAATAATAAGTTTTTAATTATGTTAGAACAAATTAAATGATGACATCATTCGCTAAAATAAAGGTGGGGAAATGCACGTTGGAACGTAAACATGTTTCATTAATATAAAGTTCTTTTGGTTTATTTTTAAGGTTAACATACTTCTGCAGGTTCACGAAAAACAACAGATAATGTAAATAATGAAATATATATTTAAGCTTCTAAGAAATGTAGAACTAACCAAATCTTTGTGGCTAACGTTTGTATTTGCGATATAAGAAAGCATGAAAGGTGTAAATTTTGTATGTTCGTGCATAACACGTGGAATTGTTTAAATGCCTGTTGAAATGAAATTAATCTTCTCAACACTGATAATATGATTTTTTTTATTTTTAGGTTTTCATATCCAACTAAGAACACATATCTAACTGAACTTTTGTGTTATGTACTAATTCAGGTGTTATATTTTAAGATATTACATACCATAAAACTCTAAAAAAATACAATTTTCTTCTAAAATACATAGGATCGAAACTTTTAATGTAATTAAGAACGATATAACAATTGTAAGAACAAATTAAAACAACTGGTTTCTCATTTATTATAAAAAATTTTAGTGTTATTTATTAACATTAGTAGAAGGAAGAATAAGGAATCAACCCATTTCATTTTAGTCTTTCATTTTTTGTTCTTACAGTCTGCCTTCAGTAGTTCTATCGTGTAAAAGGAATAACGAGGCAACCCATTTCCTTTTAGTCTTTCATTTTTGTTCTTACAGTCTGCCTTCAGTAGTTCTATCGTGTAAAAGGAATAACGAGTCAACCCATTTCCTTTTAGTCTTTCATTTTTGTTCTTACAGTCTGCCTTCAGTAGTTCTATCGTGTAACAGGAATAACGAGTCAACTCATTTCCTTTTAGTCTTTCATTTTTTGTTTCTACAGTCTGCCTTCCTATCGTGTAACAGGAATAACGAGTCAACCCAATTCCTTTTTAGTCTTTCATTTTTCGTTTTTATAGCCTGCCTTCAGTAGTCCTGTCGTGTAAAAGCAGTATGTTCTGAGACATTTTCAATACACATGATCCAAGTGCCTTTTCTAAGCTGGCAAAGTATGAATTTAATGAAATGCATTTTTCATAAAAAATACAGTGTTTAATGTATATTAGGCCTAATATTAATACCTTATGACCAATATATTTAATTAAGCTGTATAAATAATATAATAAATATAAAAAGTACATGTTTATGCCGTTCTTATGACTATCTTAGAAATAACTAACATTATATGATGATAATGAGTAAAATAATTAATTTTAGTCTTACTTGTAATATTTATTATAAGCTATTTATTAATTATTAAATTATCAAAAATTGTTAATATTCAACAAGGCTGGTTAATCATATTTCTTGATTAAATTAGCTACATTGTTGTTTAAGAATCATTAATCTTTTCATAGGTCATCGTTATTCTAAGGTTTTAAGTAAGTCATGTGTACTTTAAAATATAATCAAAAACACCTTAAGTGTGAAAAAAAGGTGCGGCCAAAAATGGATTCAGGGTACGACTTAAAGAAATGAAATCAAAATTGGCGGCTAAACACTCATAGTATTGGTGAGAATTTTACAGCAAATATTCATTCATTAGAGAGTTAACCTGCGTATTTTGTTTTACCCACCATCATGCCCCAAGTTGAACAAAAAATGCGGCCTGGCTAATTAATGAATGAATATTTGCTGTAAAATTCTCCCCAATCCACGCTGAATCCATTTTGGCCGCACCTTTTTCATACCTAAGATTTTTTTTATTAGATATCATGACGTTTTGTCAATACACACCAACAAACCACAGCCACTAAGAAAGTGACACTCGATAGTAATTGACATTAACCGGATTCTTTAATATATATATGGTAATATTTTCTCCTCTAAAACAGTGTTAATAACTTCCTTTATAGTAACGCCATGGAATATAGATTAACAGTTTCTTGTCATCACCAGTATGCACTTGGTACAGCTGTATCAAACAACGTTATTTACGCTAATTACTTATAATAATTATAATTATTATAATTATTATTAGCTAATATCACGTGACGCTAAACACTCTTTAATTAGGAGAATTTTATAATTCTATAAAATTTAGAAAATTTGTGCTTAAAAGTTGGCATATGAATAATGAATAATAACTGTCCACTCGTATGATTCTTTTCAAAATTTCAGCCTAGAAAAGTCTATACGATACTGGTATTTATTATATTACATGAAAATGTCTCATATTTGAAAATAACACGTCTAATGTGTAGACATTATTTTTTCAAAAAGTAAGAAAAAAAACAACAAAAGCTTAAAGTACTATTATGTTCTTTATTTCCGTCGTATTTCAAGTTTAATTATTTACAGGAAAAACACTCTCTATTTTAGATTTGTTTGTTTTTTGCAGAAAGTGGAAAGTCTTAAAGTTCTTAGCGTTTATACCAAGAGATTCAACACAGAAAGTGTTTCTTCTCTTAAAGTTATAAAACACCCTAAGTTAATTACTGTCAGTAAACTTAATGGTGTTCCAAAAACAAATGAAAGGTGGCAAATATTTAAAAAGAAGTTATCAAACTAAATGTTAAAAGTGATACTCCAGTAGAACTGTAACTTTCAAGTAAACAAGAGTATCACATGCTTATCTAATAAAGAGCTAATTGATGATTTTTATGCTTTTATAACAAATTTACTCCAAGGTTTATAACTTTCACAATTTAAGCTGTCATAAATTAGTTAGTGATGGAAGAATCTTCATAAATAAATAAATTTAGAAAAACAAATGTAGCTACTAACGTATTCAAATTAAAATTTTATAGAAAATAAGCTATGTGGTAAAAATGCATAAATCAGTCAAAATAAAATTATTATTGCATTTTGTATTTGAATAGAGTAAGACGCGAATTAATTTATAGATTTTAAACATAATACAAGACGTGAATTAATTTATAGATCTTAACCATAACACATTTCGTATTTGAATAGAGTAAGACGCGAATTAATTTATAGATCTTAACCATAATACATCTCGTATTTGAATAGAGTAAGACGCGAATTAATTTGTAGATCTTAACCATAATACATTTCGTATTTGAATAGAGTAAGACTCGAATTAATTTATAGATCTTAAACATAATACATCTCGTATTTGATTAGAGTAAGACGCGAATTGATTTATAGATCTTAAACATAATACATCTCGTATTTGATTAGAGTAAGACGCGAATTAATTTGTAGATCTTAAACATAATACATTTCGTATTTGAATAGAGTAAGACGCGAATTAATTTATAGATCTTAAACATAATACATCTCGTATTTGATTAGAGTAAGACGCGAATTAATTTATAGATCTTAAACATAATACATTTCTTATTTGAATAGAGTAAGACGCGAATTAATTTATAGATCTTAAATATAATACATTTCGTATTTGAATAGAATAAAACGCGAATTAATTTATAGATCTTAAACATAATACGTTTCGTATTTGAGTAACATAGGGTGTGAATTATTAAGGTTTGTTTGGCCTTAATACTTGCACCCCCCCCCCAGTGGCACAGCGGTATGTCTGCGGACTTACAACTCTAGAAACTTGGTTTCGATACCCGTGGTGGACAAAGCACAGATAGCCCATTGTGCAGCTTTGTGCTTAACTTCAAACAAACTAGCGAGATGTTAGGAATTTGTTCAGTATTTAACATATATAAGTAAACATGTTCAAGTCTGCATGAAATTCCTGGAAGTAATGTGATTTGTGTTAGTGCATTGTTAAAAATCGTGTTCCAACATGAACGTGTAACTATTAACACAAGAACTTGATTGAATTTTTAGTTTCGTCCAAGTCGTTTTGTATTAATTCTTAAGTCTTACAGAAACAATCAGGCCGATAAGTATTTTGCCATTATCATGCTACTAAGTAAAGTCCAAGATGATCACACAGCGACGAATAAACTTTAACTATATAATAAAAAGCTGAAAAAGATGAAACTTAATATTTACTTTCTCTTGAATTTTTCATCAACTTGATTTTCTGAAAACTACTATGTTTAAGAGAATTAAAAGGAATTAGTTGTTGCAGGCTAATATTTTTTTTGCAGGCTAAGTTTTACAGGCTAATATTTCCAACGATTATTTTTGGAAAATATTTCATTCAGTTATTTAATGAATTTTTTAAACAACATTTCATGAATATTTCACCAACTTTGCTGAAGAGTATAGTTTCTTAAATATTTTAACGATATTTGAATCAGGGTAAATCTGTATTTTCAAATTTGTCTCATTAAACACGAAACACAAACTATTCTTTTTTCTAGTAACTTTGTGTTTCGGAAAAAAAATCTTTGTCCAGGAAACACGAAATTGATTGTTAAGCCATAACAATGAATTTTTGATCTTTGAATGAATTACATTTTCTGAAAGTTTTATGTTATTATCCAGTGTTTTGTTCATATTTTATTATTGTTTTGGTTTATTTTGTTCATATAAATATAAACACTTTTACTTTGCCTAATCAGTAAAATTACAGAACAATGCTTTATATAATTTTATTTTGCATAGGAAATTCACGACTGTTTGAATTTTTTTCTTTGTTCTGTTTATCATAATCTGTTTAAACCTTTGAACATTGTTAAGTATATCAGTCAATTTTAGAGGTTCTGATGTCAGAGGTTCTTCTGAAAGCTGTCACATTTATAAATTATGATTGAGGTACAGTTCGAAATTGTGTGCTTGAAAGACAGACAAAGAGTTTGTTTGTTTGTAAAACAAAGCTAAACAATGGGTTATCTGTGCTCTGCCCACCACGGGTAATCGTTGTAAGTGCTACTGGTGGACGAGACAAAGAGTTTGTTTGTTTGTAAAGTAAGCACA